GGTATTGCACTAAGATGAACCAAATATTGATGTAGGTATGAAGTAGATACAAAATATCTACTAAATGTGAAAAGCATACCTCTATTAACAATAGAAAACAAGGGGCCGAGGAGATGGCTCAGTGGAATAAGCGCTTCCCTGGCAAGCACAAGGGCTTGAGTTCAATCCCCGGTTCCGCAAAAAAAAAAAGAATTCAACAGTAATAGCATAAAATTAACTGTCTAAAGATTAATAATGGTTATTTTAGTGAAGATGGAAGGAGTGGAAAACAGGAGAATGAAAGAAAAATTTTAAAAAATAAGTGAGAGAATGAGGAGGAAGAAGAGGAAAGTAAAATGAAATAAAGGATACTGTTAAGGAATAACACAAAATTTGTAGAATTAGATAAGGTAAGGGCTGGGGAGATAGCTCAGCAGTCCAAGTGCCTGCCCGGCAAGCTCAGGGACCCAGATCTGATTGCTGGCACCACATGTCGTGCTGGCCCCAAAACCCCAGGCACACCAGCCCTGAGACCAGGTGTGGTGGCGCAAGCCTGTAATCTCAGCACTGGGGAGGCTGAGACAGGAGGATCACTACAAGTCCAAGCTGTGTAGCGAGACCTTGTACCAAGTAAATAAGTAAATAAAAATTTAAGGGGCTGAGGAGATGGCTCCATGGAATAAGTGCTTCCCCGGCAAGCACAGGGGCCTGAGTTCAATCCCTGGTTCCGAAAAAAAAAAATTAAAAAAAAAAAATATATATATATATATTTACATATATATAAATATATATATATATTTATTAAAGAAAAAGACCAACAAGAAGGAGGGGAAAGGCAAATAAAGAATTAAAACATTAAAAGGAAAAATCTTCCCCTACCCAATCAGTGAAAGAGAACAAGAAGAAAAAACAAAAAACTCCAAGAAAAACAAATTTTTGAACAGGGTCTTGCTTTGCAGTCCAGGCTGCCTTGAAGTCACTATGGAGCCCAGGCTGGCCTCACACCCATGGCGCTCCTCCTGCCTCAGCCTCCTGAGTGCTGGGGTTACAGGTGTGCATGCTATGTACTTTTAGATGAGTGGTTTCTTTCCAGGGTCTGTATTTTAGAATCCGGCAAGGCAACGTTCTCCAACTAGCTTTACAACCCATGAGGTTGGGAGTTGCCCTATTTACAAAGCCCTTCTGTCTTTTCTCATCAGACTATGACAACTGTCCAGGCCAAAGCTTATCCTTTGCTTATGTTAGTAGATGACAAAAACACCTAGTAAACCTCTGGTCTGTGTTTCATGTAGACAGCAGAGAAGGGTTTAAGCATCCTACTGACCATCATGCTAGGCCTCTCAGACCCAGCTACTCCTGAAAGCAGCACACACTGGGCCTGGCTTCTCACCTCAGAGGGCAGGGCCCGTGTCCTTCCCTGCCTGTCCCAATTACTCTCCTATTGTCGCTGGGACAAATACCCGACACTCAAAATGAAGGAAGGAAAAGTTTTATTTAGCTCTCAGTTACTGGGCATTTCATAGTTTAAAACAGGCTGAATTACATAGCAAGACCTCAGAGCCTTATTTACTCAGGAGAGAGGGTCAGTGCCTCCCTCTTCTCCAAACATCTCTGCCGCTGTGTCCAGGATGACCCTCTCCACACCTCCAAGAGAGTCTTCAGGCTGCGGGCTCACGCTGCCTGTTTAACTGTTGGCGCCTCTCTGGCCCCGCCCCCCCCACGGCCCCCCCCCCTCAAGCCCCGCCCTGACTTCTGGCCCCGCCCCTCAAGCCCCTGCATTCCTTGGCGGGATCTGCCCCAGGATTTACCCGAGCCTTGAGGGGACAACTAGACACAAACCATAAACCTGGCTGACCTTAAAGTCCTCAGAGAGTGTCTGTCTAGCCTGTCTTCCCCGCCACTGTTTCTCATCTAGTCAAGGTGGGAAGGTGGCACTGGCAACCTTGAAGTGAAGTTTATCACTTGTTTTTGTTCTTGTTTTTGTTTTGGACAAGGTCTTGCTATGCAGTTAAGGCTGGCCCTGAACTCACTATGTAATCCAGACTGGCCTGAAACTCATGGGGATACTCCTGCCTCAGCCTCCCAAGCACTGGGATTACAGGGGTCCAGCACCATGCATGGCTGTTTTCAGTTGTGCTGAGGCTCAGCCTTAGGTAACAAAAGTGATGCCTGACTAAGCGCTCCTTGGTAATACAGTGGGTGCTACACTGGGTTCCTTTTATGTGTGGAAGGAGTCACTTTTGGAGTAAAACTCCACTCTGCTTTTGTAGTTTACAACAGCCATGGGCTTTCCCGGGGTCCGTGCTGCTGGGGTGGGATGCCACTTACCCTCAGGCTGTCAACCCTGAACTTACTTTGTGTCCCTGGAGACAAGTGCCCTTCCCTGGGAGCCAGGTTAAGCTTCCAGGACGTTTCATTTTTTTTTTTTTCCTTTGTGTTGTGATTCATTTTTCCACTTTCTCTGGATGTTCTCATTTTCCTTTCAGTTCCCTCCTGATTCCTAGAAACCTACTTCCTTTTTTTCTTTTTGCAAAGTTGTTGCATTCCAGGTGTCTGGACTCTGTGCCTTGGAGAGACTGTATTTTGCTGGAGACTGACACTCTGTCACTGCGGGTCCTCGATTATTGTGCTTTTCAGCACTACCGCTTCTATTTTGTTCCTCCTCTTCATTTCTACTTCTTTGATGGTATCATCTATTTGCTAAAGAAGCAAATTCTCATTACTTCTTTTAGTTCTTGCTCCTGGTGTTTGCTTTCAGCTCCTTTTTGGACATAGACATTCCTTGTTTAATGACCAATCTCTGGTCCTGCAATGAGGTCATTAAATGAACTGGTAATGAAAGAAGGAATTATGTATTTTTATGCATACTATTCAGAACGAAGAAATGGTCAAAGGAAACTCCAACTTGAAGACTTTGCTTTCATTTGCATAACTTATATGCAGTAAAACTGCATAAAACTACAGTACTACTATACAGTATTAGCAAAAATTACAGTACTATGTAAACAAGGTATACTGTAAGAAAGACATTGAAGGGGTTGGGGAGATGGCTCAGTGGAATAAGCACTTTCCTGGCAAGCGCAAGGGCCTGAGTTCAATCCCTGGTTCCACAAAAAAAAAAAAAAAAAAAAAAAAAAAAAAGAAAGACATTGAGGCTCTATAAAAAAAAAAAGACCAATCGTAAGTCTGAGTGGTGGGGGACTGCAGAGATAGCTCAGCAGTTTAAGCGCCTGCCTGGCAAGCGCAAGGACCTGAGTTCAATCCCTGGTACTGAAAAAAAAAAGAAGAAGAAGTCTGAGTGGTGGGATATAAGTCCAAACACGACACATCTGTCACAAATCCAAATAGTCATAAAACAGGTCACTTAATAATGAAATCTGTATTTCAGATAGTTGATTTAAGTCTTTGCCAGTTAGAACTTCTGAAAAGAATAGCCTTTTGAGTTTTTTTTTTTTTTTTCCTATAAATAGGTCATATTACTTAGATAGGCCCTTGAGGGAATCAGTGCTGGAGACGAGAACACATCACACAGCTGGAGGTGCATCTGCTGGAGACTGGAAAAAAAGACAGATGACCCACCTGTACGCCTCCGAGGCATAAGCAATGAATTAAGGATTATACTATAATTGATAGCACTTTCTCTAATCAAGTTTAGACAGACATCAGTCGCTCAGACAGGTGACCAGGAATCCCTGATCCATCCCTTCCTAAAAAATAGCCTTTAAAGGAAAAAGCTTTGTTCCTTGTTTCTTTGTTCTTTCCGTGCACACTTGCTAAGTGACCCGTTTCCCTGCTGGGTCAATATTACCAAAGTAGTTATGCCTATGGTGTAGGGTTGAAATTGGACCTGACTCTTCCAGGTCCCCACATGCTTGTGAGCAGAAACAGCACTCTCAGCAGGGAACTCAGCTCCATACCGAAACTGTTCCTGGCAAGCACATCAAAGGAGATAACACGGGACAAAGAATTTGTCAGGTTTTAGGACATCTGAGGGCGTCTGGAGACACCTGAAAATTTACACCAGACACTCGGAGGCAAACCATCAAGGTGCAAGACTGCCGGAGAACTTTGACCATAGATGTTTATTAAAATCGTCTCACCTTATGTCCCTCGCCTTCTCTCCATCCCTATAAAAGGGACACACTTCTCTTTGCTCACTGCAGGCGGTTTTATCACTCTTTGCCTGCCTGCACCCAGGCACAATAAATTCTACGCCACGTGGCCTTCATAAAAGCCTGGTGGTCTCTGCCGCACCCCCATGTGACACGTTACGGTAATCTTATTGGCTGATTATATCACACGTCCCTACCTGGTGATTTTGTTTTTTTAAACTTTCTTTAAAAAGTGGATGTGGGGGATATAGTTCAGACGCACAGCGCCTGCCTGGCAAGCCCAAGGTCCTGACTTGGATGCCTAGCAATAAAAAAAAAAAAAGAAAAAGAAAAAGGAAAAGATTAAAAGGTGCGCTTGGAGTGGGGGAGAGGAGGTACGCCTCTAATCCCAGCCATCAGGAGGCTGAGGCAGGAGAATCATTGCATGTTTGGGACCAGACTGGGCTACAAAGTGAGCTCAAGGCAAGTCTGAAAAGCATAGCGAGATCCTGTCTCAAAAAAGACTGAAAAGGTGTGTGTGTAGGTGGCCTTTCGTTGGCAACCCACTTCCAGGACCTTCCTTTTCTTAGGAGCTGTCGCTCTCAATAAATTTTTCCTACTCCTAATCTCGTTGCTCCTTAGAATTTATTCTTTGTAGAGTTATTCGACTTGGCTTGGCGGGTATGAGAATCCAAACTCCGCCCGCCTCCTGAACGCCTCAGAGTCCACCGCCACACCCAAGAGACGCAAGAGACGCTCCTTGGGCTGGTCGAGCGAAGTCTACGGGTGGGGCGGAGCGGGAGGAGCGCTGGAGCCGCTGAGGCCTCTGGGAGTCGTAGTCCGCGTCGGCCAGTTTGGCGTGCCCAGAACTCCATCTCCCGTGGGCCCCCGCGGCCTAGGCCATCTCCTCTTCCTGTTTTGGGGACCAGTAGTTCAGCGGCCGCGAATTGCGAGGATTTGAGGACGGGTCCTCTCCTTCTGGCCGGTGCTCCGAGCTGGAGCCTTCGGTCGGCTCAGGTAGAGCGAGCTCTCTGCGGACTCGCCCCGCGGGAGAAGTGGGCGCGGGCCGAGGCAGCGGCGGCGCAGGCGCTGAGCTGGCGGGGAGCGGGCTGTCACCTGGGCTGGCTTCTGTGAAACGCGTGGGATGGAGCCCCGCGGGGAGCGCAGAGGCCGAAGCGGCGGCCACGCGCGCTCCGCGGGCTCGAGCGTGGTGCAGTCGGGCGTCCGGGGTGGGTGAGGAGGCCGTAGGGGAACGGCAGGGCTACGCCAAGTGAGCGGCCCGAGCCCCCTTCGCCGGAGGGGAACTGAGAAATTGGGGAATAGAGCTCCCATCTTTATCCGAATGGGGAAGAGCCGGGTTGCGCTTGGGCTGGGAGCCCCGCTGGGCGAGCTTGTCGCACGACTCAGGTGTGTGCCTGTCTTGAGTGGGTGGCGTGGTGTGACAGCTGTCTTAGAATGCTGGGACCATGGGGAGGGCTCGTGGGACGCGAAGCCGTCATCACCAGAGAACGAGTTTGGCCAACGTGGCTGAAACCTAGTTGTCCTGATAGCTTTAGCCATTGTTGAGCTCGTCGGATCTGCAAACCCCATCATTTATCTCTTCCTCCCTCCTCCTCCCCCCCACTGGGGATTGAATTCAGGACCTTGCGCTTGCCAGGCAAGCGCCTGTTCTACTGAGCTATCTCCCCGGCGCCCCTCTTCCTCCTTTATTATTTTTTTTTTTAAGCCCTGGGACCTGACAACAGTCTGATAGATAATAAGCAAAAGCTGAAAGTTTTTAAGTTTTTCAGTAAGTCAAAGGTATCCTTGTCCTAACTTACAGAAAAATCTAGGTCTCCATGTGCAGTTCGGGTACTTTCATAGTAGGATAAAAGGTTGATAGCAAAGACGTAGCCTGTATTTTTTTATGTGTGTAAAATAATAAAACGTACCCCTGATTTATACCCACTAGAACTTTGGGAACAATTAAGTGTACGTTTCTTCTCACAGTCTTACATACTGCATATCTGTTAAACACCTAAACTAATATACTGTCAATTAATTTTCTAATACCCTGAATGTTTATGATAAAAGAAATGCATGAGAAATTGGACCACTCATGTGAATTAAAAATTGAAATAATAATTCTTAGTATTTTTTAAAAGGTTTTACTGGCATGAAGGTTTTTAAAAATCAACGAGAGTTTCAAGAATTTCTCTAGGCCTGCATTTCACACCATATTTAAATTCCATTTTTTTGCTAATATTCTGTCTTCCTTATTGTGTTAACAAAACTTAAGAACACTTAGTATACTTGGTATAGGAAGAGAGGTTCTTTGGTAACATAGTACTACCCTAATTCACACTGACCTGCAGCAGTGTCAGATTTAACAGCCCATGACGCATTAATTGATTCCACTATTACAGCAAAATTAGATTATTTTAGCTACTATTACTTCAGTAAATTATTCATAAAGAATTTAGACAGGTTTGTAGCATACTTTATACGTTACAGACTTGTACTTTAAAAAAAAAAAAGATGTACATACCATAGCTGCTCCCACTAGACAGCTTTTTTCATGGTGTGGTTCCTTTTCTGTTTTGTTGGCATATTACAGAAGTGGGTAAACTGATCAGATTTATCCATCAGGCTACATTTTCTCTTTGTTACAGACTTTGTTGGAACACAGCCATGTGTACTCATTTACATATTGCCTTTCTCAATATGAAGATGTGGATGGCGAAGCCTAGAGTATTTACTCTCTGGCCCTTTCAGAAAAAAGTTGTCAACACCTGGCCTAATAAACTGAAAGTAAATAAAATGATTGAAACATATCGAAGTATATAAGGTAATACTACTTTTCAGTCTCTGAGAAAGAACATGTAAGTACGCATTAGGTCCATAATCACATTTGTCCTTTTGCAAATTAATAGAAGCATTTGGCATAGAGACTATAGATTTGTTTTTACATACACACACAAAAATTTTTTCAGAATCTAAAAACTTGTTTTCAAAGAATATAAAAAGTAGTAAAAAAAGTAAACATTAGAAACAATGCTCAATTCCACTAAGCAAAATCATATAAACTCAACAATGGCTGTTGTATTACAAAAATTTTTGAAAGAAAGTTTCTGAGCCTTGTATGGAAAGGGCTGTTATGCATTGGGGTACATTGATAATCAGAGTCAAGGCTTTAAGGAAAATATCACACTGACTTTCTCTGGTTGGTTTTTATGTACTTTTTTTGGAAATACACCTCAGTAAGGTGCTAACATTTAAAGAGAACTTGAAAGTATTAAATTGGGTAAGGTCTTAATTCTCTTTTGGCACCTATCTCAGTCTTGCTGCTCTAACAAAATATTTGAAACTTGGTAATTTATAAAAAGATTTATAGCTGGGCATAAGGGCCTGTGCTTGTAATCTTAGCACAGAGGAAGGCTAAGATAGGAAGGTTGCCAGTTCAAGTACCACCTCGGTGATTTTGTAAGACCCTTTCTCAAAACAAACAGAAAGTTAAGAGATATAGCTCAGTATAGAAAGCCCTGAGTTCAGTTCCCAAGATCATAAAACAAAAACAACAACAAAACCAATTTTATATCTGACAACTCTGAAAGCTGGGAAGTCCCAACTTACCTTGCAGTTAGATTTGATGTTTGCTAAGGCCCCATCTGTGCTTCCAAGGTGATGCCTTCTTGCTGTCCTCTTACAGTAGAAATTTCAGAAGGCAAATTGGTTAAGGTAGTTCCCTTCAGACCTCTATAAAGTTGAGAATCATATGCATAGCCATAACATTCAGGATTGATTCAATGTGTGAATTTTGAAAGGATCAAAAAGCTCTAGCAAGACCCTATACTAAAACTAGTCTTAAACAATTAAGGAGTCCTTATTAAATGACCTAGCTTTAATCTAACAGATTTGCATTTGAGACTTAGTTTTAAAGCTCAGAGATTAAAATAGTGGGAGTAAATATATCTGTTTATGTCAATGTTTAATTCCCACAAAATGATGTCAGTGTTTTAGCTTTGGCAAATTAATGCTGGATGAGCATTTAGTATTTAAATCACCAATAGAGTACAGTAGTCCCTCAGTATTTTGCAGTTCACCTTTCGCGCAGTCACTTTCGCAGGTTTTCCAAAAATACTAATCTAACTAATTTATCATGGATTTTTAGCTATATCACGGGATTTTGCCGTACCATACAGTATACGTGTGTTGTTAAAATTACATAGGTTTATGAGTTTAGAAAATGGCTAAGAACAGTAGAAGTGTTTGGGCCGGGGAGATAACGCAGTGTAGAGTAAGTGCTTGCCTGGCAAGCACAAGGTACCTCAAAAAAAAAAAAAGAAGTGTTTTTAAAAGTGTGGGAAAGGTTTATAAGAGTGTGGGAAGAGTTTATAAAGCCTTAAAATATGCATATCAATATTAATGCTTTAGCGCTGCTACTTTGCTGATTTTCGCCTATCGCGGGGGTATCTGGAGTGGAACCTCCGTGATAAGTGAGGGACCACTGTTTTGCTTTCTAATCTATGCAATACTAGCGATGCACTCTTAATTCCCCTCTTAACCTAATTCATGAAACTGCAGAATATTGTATAGTTCTACTCATCACGACAGTCAAAAGAGCACTTAATTGCTTTCAAACAACTTTCAGGAGGAATCTGAAGTTCAGGCTAATTAAAGAAACTAAAAAATGTTTACTTAAAAATTACTAGGTTTGATTAAAAAAAAATACCAGGTAGTTTGGATTACTCATTCATTACTTTAAATCACTGAAGTTTTCTGCTTCTTTAGAGTATATAGATAATTTTACTATGGCCACAAAGTTTCACTATTTTAAAAATAAATATATATGAGCTGAGACCTTTAAGTCCCTCAGAGCTTTCACACTTTCCCCAATCTTAATTACCATTTTTGGTAAGGCTGAAATGGTACACTTAAAATTGGACTTTGGTGTTAGCATGCTACTAAGTTTTATTATTTAAGAGATTTAGTACACATTAATTTCCTGGGCTTCATAAGTGTGTTTGTTTTTTTTTTTTTTAAGTTGATTGATGGTGAGGAACACAGCTTTAATTTTTTTTCTACTTTTCTCAATAACTATATTGTAGGGAATTGTTGAGAACTTGTAAAATGATTATATTGTTCAAAGCTAACCATTACTTGTTATTTTAGTTGCCTTACCATGAAATAGATAACCATTTTTTACTACTGGACTCTCCTTTATGTTGAAATAAAGTCCTTGTTGCCGGTGGTATTTTGGTTCCACATAGTGGCAGGTGCTCTACCTCTGAACTATCCCCCAGCTCCTTTAGTTTTTTGTGAAAAGTTACTTTTATGAGGTACTACTGACATTTTTATTTAACATTTGTTTGTCTCCAGTGGAGACCTTTGACAGGCTTAAACATTGGGCAGGAAAGCAGAAGAGCACAAGAAGGAAGTTAAAAAGGGAAGTGAAAGGGAGACGACCAGAGAGAAAAGAAAATGCATACATTTTAGGAAAAGAACCTGTTCCCAGCACCTGTGTCCCATAGGCAGTGACATGTTGGCAGGGTTTGCCTCGCTGATCATTACTGAAGATTTTTTCATTTAAAATGT